TGATAATTGAAAATATATAATTTGGAGACCCATAAATAAGTAATAATTAAAATTTAGTTATTCAAAATATATATATTCTTAAATTTTAATTAAGCTTTATTTATAAAATATTATGAAAATCAAAAAAAAATTATTACTCAAAATATCTGAAAAATCATAATTCTAAATAAAGTGTAATTCTTAAAAAAACAAATAAACCTAACAATTACTCTAATAAAGTGAAATATCACAACATTTATTTAATTTACATTATATTCATCATGCAGACTTAATGATTATTCTAAATTAATTAATAGTACATTTAATGAAACAATGAAAGTGAAATTTTTCGCAAAATCATTAATATTCATTTCGCTCCATTAAATTCTTCCGTATTCTTTTTGCTAAATTTTTTATTACAGTAGTTGTAAGGTATCTCTATTTTATTATTTTTATTACAAAATCATATTTTAGTTACATTTTAAACCAAAGACAAAAAAATTTTTTTGTGTGTGCATTTTCTAAAATTTTGGTAGAAATCTAGGATATCAATAAAAAAAATAATAATTCTGAAAAAATTGTACCTTTGACAATATTTCCATATAGTTCAAAGAATAAGGATATTATTTATTATCACTCTACACAAATAGAGTAAAAATTATAATTTACTCTTGTATAAAAACAAGAATTTTCCTGTTGTATATTGCTTCGGAAATTTTTATTATTAATAAGAATTCATGTTGCGCATTTAAAGATACACTGAATTTTAATCTTATTGAAATTATGAAAATTTCGATTTATTTTTCTGCCCATATTATTTCTCAATGTTTATGTAATTTCAATTAAAAGAAATATCATTTTAGAAAATACTTTTATAGATGGTTTAGAGTTTAAAAGCGTTATCAAAATATCATAACAACATGCAATATAACGTGTTAGGATAAAACTTTATTTGGGAAAATTAATTAAATTTGAATAAATGCTTACTAGAGATTATCTAATGATTCTTTATTAACACGCAATGCTTACTTGTATGCTTGATTTGTGTACCTTAAAAAATTACATTTTTTAAATAATTATTCTAGCCATAAATTATTCTTGTTTTCTTTGTGACATTAATTCAATATTTTGCACTTAAGATCACATTGTGTTTTAATCTAACTATAGAACATTTATTCTTTTCTACTATATTCTTTATAACACATTTCGAATTAAAAAATACATTTTATAAGCACCTTCGTGGTATTGTTATAATTCGAAACCCTACATTAATACATTTCTTAAAATATTACCTACCTCTTTTCTAACTTAATTCTTCATTTAGATAGTTTACTATCCTAGAGTTATACTATAAAAAATTAAAAGTGCTATCAAATTATCGTATTGACCTGCAATATAACGTGTTAGGAAAAACTTTATTTAAGAAAATTAATTAAATTTGAATATGTACTTACAAGAGATTATATAATTGTCCCTTATTAACACACAATGTTTAATTGTATGCTTGATTTGTATACCCCCAAAAATTGTATTTCATAGAGAAATATTCTTGTCATAAATTATTCTTGTTTTCTTAGTGATATTAATTCAGTATCTTGGAACTTAAGATGTGTTCAAATTTAACCATAGAACACTGATTCTTTTCCATCTTGGCTTTCTTTTATAAGACGTTTCTGATTTAAAAATATGCATTATTAACAAACTCGTGATATTTTCATAATTTCTAAAGCCTATATTAATAAATTCATAAAAATATTACGTATTTCTTTTCCAACTAAGTTATTCAGTTAGACAGTTTACTACTATAATCTTACACTATAAAAAAATCTGTTATGTAACGGAAAATTTCTGGCAGCAAAGTTGCCAGGGATTATCAGAATTGACAGATTGACCAAAATTTACAGTAACTAAGACAACAGAAATTATTTATACACACCATATATTTTCTGTAGATCAGGGTACGGCAAAGAAGTTTAGTATGACGGTATATGTATATGCTCTCTTGTTAGACTATTTTTTTAAACTATTCCATTTCGTACATGATTTTTCGCGATTTTCGAGATATTGAAAACTATTCTGTTTAAAGAATCGTCGTATAATTTTTATTTTCTTCTATCAAGTTCAGACGCTCCAAAGCGGAATTCGAACTCACGACTCCAGACAAACGGATTTGCATTTTCTTCCATGAATCAAATTATTTGTTGCTGCTTTGATATCAAAGTTTTTCAAATTCAAAATTTAAAAAATCTGTGCAAAGCAAATCGAATCTCTATCAATGGTTAAAGATATTATTTGTTAAGAGAAAAAACGCCTCTTTTGATGGATTACGATGCAGTTAAACAATAAATTTCTGTAGTTTCAGAAAATAGAAATTTTCTGTAGGAAAGTGAAAGAATTATTATGCTTTTAACGTAAATTTTTTACAGTGTAGAAACGAGAACTAGAAATTATTTCCTCTCATATTTTCTATTTTATATTAACTTAGAAAATTGTTTTAGGGAAACAACTTAGTTTAATGCAGAAGAAATTGCCGTTTTTTATTTTTCGTTTTGTCTATAAAATTCATCAAATGTAGAAATATGCTGCTGACTTTAATATCTTTAGGTTACTTTTTACTTGGGAAAAGCAATATTCTTTAGAATAAACTTAACAAGTGAAAGCAGTTAAAAAGTATTATGATGCTCAAAACAGCTTTTCATCATTATATTCCTTAAAATATTACGTATTATAGTATATATTTGTTCACAATACGCCTGGTTTTGAGACAAAAATATTACCTCCAATAACTTTTAATCAATTAAGTACACTTTTACAAACTACGTTATACTTAAGTTGATACGTCTGAGAAGTGCTAAATTGCTTAAAATTCATAATTTTACTGTTACAAAAAGAAAGAAAACGCTCTTCATTGAATGGACCTCTTATAGTTTTTTTTAAAGAATTTAGACTTCTGTCCACACCTACTGAAGTAAATACGCCAACTTAAAATATTTCAGAAATAAAATAAATGATTGTTAATTACAAAATAGTTTTCTATTTATTATCATTTAATTTAATCACACTCAAAATAAACTTTATGATAATAAGAATTTTTTTAAGCATATCAATGTGTAAAATGCTTACGTTAATTTAGAGATAGTGAATAAATTGAGAGAGGATTTCCACGTGTAATGCAAATTTTTGACAAACTTCTTTAGGTACCCTAGCAAACGTGTTGTAATTGTTATCATGAATATACTTAGTTGTTCAGGTATAAAAAATATAAAAGCTAACACACTTGATATTTGTCATTTACGATATTTTAAATAGCCTTTATTTATACTACACAAAAAACAAATTAATTGTTTCCTGAACAATGAACATCTATTACATGCATTTATTATCATAAATAATTCTGTAAAACATTTTGTTCAACAACAAAATTTTGTATTGTTGTTATAAGGATACTGTGGAGTACAGTATCGTTACACTGTGGAACAAAGTATCATTGAACCTATTAGAATATGTGTAAAATTAGCATTGTTTCTGGCTCTATGGGAACATAAAAAAGCTGGGATATTTTTACAAAATTGCTTTGGTAATGATTTTGGTAAAATTAAAAATAAAATGTAGTTTCATAATATGCGATAAAATTTAGTAAATGCTGTAAAATTTGTTAATTTTATCATGATAACTTGCATGATATAAAAAACTTGTATTTGGTTCTATTTACTTTTCTGTTTTGTATTTTTTACTTAAAGTGTGAAATAAAAACTATAATTTAAAAGAAAACAAAATTTCCGATAAACCGTTTCCATATGAAAGGAAAAATTTCCAAATAAATGGTTTAAATAACATATATTTTTCCTTTATTAATCTAAATAAATTGAATTATATTTTTTTACCACAAATGTTTTACCTTAGAGTACAGCAATTTTAACCCAATTTTTCTCCTTGCAATAAATCATAAGCCAGCTCATTAAATATAGAAATTAGTTTTTATGGGAAAACCCCATTTTCAAACATTTTTCATCTGTTTCGGAATGTAAAACTTATGTTCATAAATTCCCAAAAACTGCACTTAAAACTTCTTTCACTAAGCTATTTATACATATAAAATGACTATAAAATTGAATCAGCTATGAACTTGAAATCAGCAATGTACAGTGATGCATTTACAAAGAAATACAGTTTAGGTAAATAACAACTTTTCAGGATATTTGAGAATATTTTGACCTGAAACAATAAAATTTAATTCATTTAAGCGAAAAATTCTTCCTTAAAATTATGATTTAAAATTGTCTTTTTATATTTTTAAATCGCACGAGAAATTAATGAATCGGGGAAACTCCGTAAACGATGCTTATCTAGCTTATGAAATGGTGTTCATTGTTTTAATATATCAATTACATTTTAATTTTTGAGAGACATTAACATTAAATTTGTATTTTGCCATTGATAACCATGTTTAAACATAATATTTTATGGTCAACCATTGCTAGCAATTTCATAGCCAATAATTAAATTTGGTTCTTGTATCTGAAAAAATAATTGAACCTTTGTTAAATCCTACAGCAATTTTTGTATCGGAAAATGATTCAGCACTCAAAAAGTACTTTATTAAATATTCGATGCACGTCAGAGAGTAAAAATAAAGATATTTATGTCCCGAAATTTCAAAAATTTTTTATTACGGCTTTTTGAAATTTGGTAAGCGAAACAATTTATAATTTCTTAATGATGTTTTTTACACTAAAACTATAGCAAATCATGAATCATTGATGTCAAACATTAAAATAATAAATAACAAATAAATTATTAACCAGCAGATTCAAGAATACCAAAATAGTTTTTTCTAATAAAGCCAAAAAAGTAATATTTCCATTAATATCACGTCATAAAAAATAAACTCTAAGCTTTTTTTTCTTCCAAATCTCTTTAATTGATGATTCCATGACCATGACAAGTGGCGCAATGTTGGCGACCGCCATTCTGTTGTGTTTAGACTTTTGGCGATAGGGGATAAGGAGGAAATCGGAGGCAACCCTGCGGATCTTGCAGAGGTAAAGCAGGGAGAATTCCATGCTGATTGATTCTAGCAGAGAGCTAGCTGGACTATTTTCTTGCTGTAGCAGTCTTTAGATCACTAGGCGAGTTAATATTACTGAAAATAACAGAATAGGACAACCCAGCACCTAGCGGTTTAGGGATTCCGATAAACTTTAGATTCTTCAAGGGTTTTGTGTTCGCTGTAAAGCAGGCTTTCCTGAAAAGCCAGGACGCCATAACAGTCCAACAAACGCTCTAGTGACATTGTTATTAGAAAGAGAGGACAGTTCTAAGTTATAGCGCCCGTGAACTTTGTTTCTCGGCAGAAAACACGATGATGTTGTGCTCCGTGAACTTTGCGTGCGCTATTATTGTCGCTTGCTTATGTTTCGTAGATTCAGAGTCAATATACGAAGCCCTCGGTAAGAAGCCTCATTTGTCAGAGGTAAGTAATGATTTTTATTTGAATATTTTTTTATACTTTTTAGTTTTATTTTACTCTATGCTGCTATCAAAATGTTATCAGTTTGTTGCTTTGAAAAATGTACAAATTGTTTCCTAAAAGATATAATGCTTCCTGAGTAATAATAAATGGATAATAACTATTACCAGAGTAAAAAAAAAAGGTTAATGATTGACTCAACATTGAAATTTAGTTTTGATGTATTCTTATAAAAAATAGTGAACTTCAATTATTTTTTTAAAACTTTAAATAATGGTATTTATATTTTTTAATGGAAATAATATTATATCATTATAAACAGCTATTTACTTCTCACAAATATAAAATTTTACCAATTAAAAAAAAATCATTGGCATTTACATTTGATTCTGAACTCTAAGAGCAGTAAGAGAAAAGTGCAAACTCATAAAGTCATTATGATGATTTGAAACTTATTAATGTTTTGTGTATTGTAATTTTAAAACTAATACTGTTTTGTTAAACGTTTTTAAGAGTTTTGTTGTAAAACAGTGAACAGAATGGTCATATTTTTAAAAAGGAAGTTATTTGTTTAGTATTCTGATTTTAAAATATATTTTGTATTATTAAAGTTAGAAAAATACATCAATTAAAAAAATCTATATTTTCTACCCTAATATGCTTAATGATTAAAAATTACAAAACGTGCAATATTTTTATAAAAGAAATTGAATTAATTAAATTTTTCTTATCTTTAATAATTTGTTTCTTAAAAATGAAATAAGTAAACAACTTCGTCAGTTTTCTAGCAGTTTAATGCTACAAAAATAAAATCAGTGGAAAAATATCAAAAAATATAACAACCGTTATGTAGAAAACGGTTGTTCATTTTGAAGTATTTTTCGTATAAAAAGTAAATTTACATGTTCGTGAAATATTTCTATAGTGTATATATTACTCAAAAAAACTTCATAAACCTCGTACCATTTAAAATTGTCCATTCTTGATGCATTCTGAGTCGGTTTATTTTCCTATTTAGTATTTAAACTGGAATTTCGCTATTTTTAAGGAAAAAAATATTTTTTTAAAAAAAAGCAATTTACTTTCAAGTAAAAGAAAATGTACTGATAACAGCATTTAACAGATTTTTCTTTCTCGTGACTTTTGACAAGTAAAAATAAAATATAAATAAAATATGAATAACTTTTTGTATAAAATAAAAATAAAAAATAGTTTGCAAAAAAAAAACATAAAAATTTAAATAAATTGGATTTATGTTTTAGTTTATAAAATATTAATGCCCATGGTAAATGTCCCTTATTATATATGGGTCATTATAAATGGGTATAGGACACGAAATTTGCTAACATTTTGAGACTTTTTTATTTGATTAAAAGAAATCAATTTATTGTTCTTTTTTCAAAGAATTTGGACATTATACAAATTTTATAACTTTTTTCATGTATGCAATCAATTTTTTAAAGTTTATTTTAATTTTTAAATGGTTTTAATTTTTTTCTGCTGTAAACAAAAGGTGCTGAGAATACAATGAATTACATGTGACGTTTTTCTTTTCACAAAATATATCACAAAGCTTCATTAATTTTTGAATATACGTATAAAATTATTAAACTACGCAAAAGGCGAATTAAAATAGTCCATATTAAAATAAAGTAATAAATAAATTCCAAATAAATCATATATATAGCACAATATTAGCCGAATTATAATTTCATGGAGTAATCTTATAAGGCGATTTTACCGCAAGACATCGGTTCTTCAATTTGCTAGGAGAAAAGAAGGCTAGTGCTGCAGGAAAACAAGCATACTGATTCACTCGAGAAAAATAGTTACTTCTAATCACGAAACCTAACTTCTTAAGTTGCATTTCCTTACAAGAAATAGGGTGCTTTTAAGAATGTTTTGAGGATGACAAGTCTGAAGAAATAAATCTGAGGTTGTAAATGAGGTTAAGTTTTTATGAGGAAATGTCTTACGTTAACCTCAATTTCAGCCTCATGTACAACTCATAAAATCAACCTCATATATAGCTCAGCAATGCTTTTAGTTGAAATTGGGTGTAATTATTCACACCTCAAATATACTTATTTGCTTGTAGTGTAGAAAAAACTGTAAACCTCAAAAACAACTTCTTTGAACTGGTTCTTCTTTTGTTGATTTCTATTAATCTCAAAACAATCTAAAGTATAATAAAATAATTTTTTTCACCTTGATCATAAGTTTTGAAGGTTGATTTTTTAAGATTGATTTTTTAGGGATCAAATAAACCTTAAATCAACATTAACATTTCAAAAGAAACTAAATTAATCCCTGAAAAAAACTGAGATTTTGTAAAGGTTGATAGTAAGATAGTTTAGAGTTCTGGAATTTTGAAATATCTTTTAAATCTCAGAAAATAAAATAAATGTTTATTACGACCAGAAAATTAGTACTTAACATTTATACGTATTATTCATTACAATATTTTTTAGAATGCTATTTATTTATCTCGGTTACGGTAATAATAATAATAAAAGCTGATAATTGTAATATTTGTTCTTAAAGATCACAAATTTGTAAAATGTTTAGAAATTCTGAGTTTTCACCCGAAGATAAAACTAAGAATTTCGAAAAAAGATTTGCTTAAATGGTACACTCATGGACAAAAAAATTAGTGCACCAAGAAGGAGCAGTCAAAATGAAACGAAATTTTACATACGTAATGACTACTTTGATATAAGTAAATGTTTAGAAAATCAAGGAAAAACGATGATTTTCCAATCATTTACTTACATCAAAGTAGTCATTACATATGTGAAATTTCGTTTCATTTTGACGACTCCTTCTTGGTGCGCTAATTTTTTTGTCCATGAGTGTATTTTACATAACACTGTATGAAATATCTATTTTTTTAAACAAAAGTGTATTTATGAAATATAATTTTGATACATAAGTTATTTGCTAGAGATCCAACAAATAAACTCAGTGTTTATGTACAATTCACAATGTTGATGTGCATTGTAATTATAAATAAATTAAAATATCAGAATGACACTAGGTTGAAACTTCATGTAAGTGAGTTTGTAAACAATTTCATGATACCATGAGGAATCTCCTTAGATTTATTAAAAAGTAAAGACTTCCAGCAGCAGCCCATTATGAACCAGGGTGGTCTTGGAAGTTAAGGCTCCACAATTTTGTGACCAACGGCATGACTTTTGTGTGGTGAGCACTGCGCACAGGAAACCTTCACTTATCAGATTAGCTGACACTCATCAATCTGGAGCTGTGTGGATTTTTAAGCCATCACTGGGGATCGAACTTTAGTTCTTTACAATTGCAGTTAGATATTTAACCACTGATCCCTCGCGGTTCTACAATATATTTGTAATACCGGGAGAATAGTTGATAGAAAGTTTAGAATTAATACTTTTTTTAGAAATAAAAAATGTATAATATTAAAACTTACACTATGATAAAACTTAAATTTAATAGAATAAGATGACGTGTTTTATTATAGTTTAACGAATTTGTATCAAAATATCTCGCAAAACAAACATTTATGCATTAGGTTGTCCTTTCTCTTAAATAGAAAATAAAACAAAAAAAAAAGAAATAATTAACTTTTAAACTAATAATTATTGTATATGTATTAAAATCCAATCCAATAGCAAAGCCTTAAAAATAAACAAATAAAGTAAATAAAAAAATTTATTGATAATTATTGCTTTAATGCATTTCTGCCGAAATACTTCAAAACAAACATCACTGCTTTTGTGTGCCATTATCCACATTCAGGTGGAAATACCTAATGAAATTTGTACTGCATATTTTACCCACTATTGTTTTAAAAACGTTAGCATCATTGATCAGAGAACAACAATGGACACAAACTCAGAGAAATTTATTGCGTAATCATAAAAACACTCTCATATAATTGTTTTTTGTTTATATACATAACAATATTGGATAATACATTTATCCAAGAATAGAAGTACATTTTATCTCTGCCACATATATCAGCACACATTTCTGTTCGAAGATATTAAATGTCTTAACTCCATAATGTAATCATTAGTTTCGTTCGAAAAATAAAACTATTTACGAAATAGACACCAATCCGTAGAATAAATCTTTGTCTTACGAATAATCAAATAAATACTAACTTCGCAAACGAAATCCTTTTGAAATATATTATGCATATTTATAAAGTCAATAAATTCTATTTAATCTCACATCGTTATGCGGTAAGCAACTGCTTGTCTCTTTTGTAAAGCTAAGAATATTTATCGCTTATAAGATTGTGTTTGATGCTATTTTCAAATTACTTAAACGCTTCAAATAAATGTTTTGATAAATTAGTCTTTAGACAAGTTATGTATAAAAGTACTATATATTTTATTATAGATATTCACAGTTCCTTTGTATTTGACTCATTATTATGTTCAAATTATTTACTACATCTAAGTATATATTTGCGCAATTTTCCTTTAAAATGTTAGCTTAAAAAAAAGTTCACTTGTTTATTAAGAAATGTAAAAAAAGTAATCTGATAGAATTCATAATATTTTTTATAAAAAAAATCATAGAAATGTTTAGTTTGCTGAATTTTTAAATCTATAATAATTGGTACTTTTAAAAGAAACAATTGGTATTGTTTTTCAAATTTTTGTGAAATTCCAAAACCTTTACTAATAACATTTATTACATATATTTAGAATGTAGCATATACATCTGGTTATAATAAAGAATACTTTTGTAATAAAATTTAATAAAAAAATGTTTACAAATGCGAGTGTCTAATAAAGAGCTGATATTTGTAAGAGACTTTTGCATTCTTTTGTAGACTTTTTGCTAAAGTTTACAATTCTGCAATTCAATATACTCTTAAGACATCGATTCAAATTACAATATTGGTCACAATTATAATAATACAATATTGGTCAATATTAATCACAATAATGGTAGCATAAACTGCAATTTCTTGCCGATTTGTTGCTACCTTTAAAAGTTTTAAATTGAAC